GGCGAGCGAGCGCGGGGGTGGTAGTTGCGGATGTCCGACAATGCCTTGATGGCTACTGAAGAGGTACAACGGCAGCATCAGAGGAGGAGGACGCAGTTGCAAAGCAAAAAAAAAAGGGGGGGCAGGGGTGGAGTGGAAGAGAATGGGATAGAAAGAGACATTTGAATGGGCCGGGGGTGTCGGAGTCCTACGTGGCTGCTGTCTGGACTACCGCAAAGCCCTTCCCCCTCCCCCAAGTTTGCCTTCAAATTGCGGGAAAAAACACATCCGAACTGGTCAGTGGAGTCCAATACAGACCCACACCGGATGACAAAACACGTCTATGGTCCGCTTTGAAGATGTCCTAAGAGAGAACCAAGGTATATTTGTTTAATATTTTTTTTCATTTTATATTGACTATTCGCCTAAAATCCAGATTGTATTCTAGTTGCATATATATATGGTCTGATACACCAAGTATATATATGCGTCTACGCTAGTACACTACACTTGCCATGCTAGTATGGGTTTTGGCTTGTTGCCTATAAATACAAGAGGTGTTGTTTCACTCCAAAACCCAAAGCCTGCCAGCACAGTCCTTTCCTAGTCCCTACCACGCGCCGCGCCTCTAGCTCTCGGCCATGTCGTCGTCCATGGCCGCGGCCGTGTCGTCGCTCCGCTCCCTCCCACTCCACACACTCGTGCCGCTCGTGGCCTCGGCGCTCGCCTTCGTAGTCACCGTCTTCCGGCGCGTTCTTCGGCGGCAGCGGCCGGTGTACCTGCTCAACTACAGCTGCCACCTTCCGGACGCGGACCGGCAGTGCAACCTGGAGGTGTGCGAGTACTTCGGCCTCCGCTCCAAGCGCTACACCGACGAGACCGCCGACTTCATGCGGCTCATCTTCCGCAAGTCCGGGCTCGGGCAGGAGACCTTCGCGCCGCCCTTCATCTTCTCCGGCAAGTTCGAGAAGACGCTGGCGTTCGCCATCCAGGAGGCCGAGGAAGGCCTCTTCACCGTGGTGTCCCAGCTGCTGGCCAAGTCCGACGTCTCCCCGCGCGACGTCAGCGTCCTCATCGTCGCCTGCTCCATGTTCTCCCCCCAGCCGTCGCTGGCGTCCATGATCGTGCGCCGCTTCAAGATGAAGGACGACGTCAAGGTCTACAGCTTCGCCGGGATGGGGTGCAGCGCCGGCACGGTGGGCATCGACATGGCGGCGCGGCTGCTGCGCGTGCAGTGCCGCCCGGGGTACGCGCTGGTGGTGGTGACGGAGAACACCAGCCTCAACTGGTACTTCGGCAACAACAAGCACATGCTGGTGACCAACTGCATCTTCCGCGTGGGCAGCGCGGCGGCGCTCATCACCGACGTGCCCGCGCGCCGGGCCGACGCCAAGTACGAGCTGCTGCGCACGCTGCGGACGCACCATGGCGCCGACGACGCGGCGTACAACGCCGCCGTGCAGATGGAGGACGAGGACGGCGGCGTGGGCGTGGCGCTCACCAAGGACCTGGTGCGCGTCGCCGGCGCCGGCCTTCGCAGCCACATCGCCACCCTCGCGCCCTACGTGCTCCCTGTCTCCGAGCTGCTCAGGTACCGTACGTGCTACCACGTCGCGACGCTTCCCACCTCTGCGCGCGCATTTAACATATCTACTGCACCGTCCATATTTTTCCAGGGGCCAGTAAAACTTTACTACTAGTCTGGTATCGCTGCAACACTGCCACTTTATAAACAACTTTTCACCTAAACACAGCAATGCTCCTACGTCAGTATTAATTTCTACCTGCCTTGAAATAAAATCCACCCATGATCTAATGCATATGCTCTTTTTAGAAGAAAGAAAAAAATCATTGTTCATTTTTTTTTTGAAAAGGGGTTTACCCCCGCCTCTGCATCAGAAAGATGCATACGGCTCATCTTATCAATAAAAAAGTCCAGCAATATGAGCTCTTTTTTCTTTTGAACAAATTCAATATGAGCTCGGCAGTTTCCCTAATACATCTGTAACTAAATATAAGACGTTCTTGCAGTTTAAAAACGTCTTTTATTCAGTTACAGAGGTAGTACGTGACTTACCATATTTTTATATCAAACTTAACTTGATGGTTGCATATTATTGAAACTTTGTAATTTTTCGTTTGCAAAAGTACATTCTTGGCAGTTTCACATTTCTAGATCTAAAGTTGCGCTCATTATTTTTGTGCAACATAAAATTATTG